AAGTCTAATATCTTGAAAACCGGTGAATATTTTTCGATGAAATTTGGTAGATATTCGTTTTCGCTCTTTCTGAACCGAGCGACATCACTTTCGTGCCAATTCATTAACTTTTTTGAAGGTGGGAGGGTCCCTTTAAATTTGATGTATTAGTACCAGGGGCGGATTCGGGAAAACTCTAAGGGGAGGTTCATGAATCGAAGTGGTGCCCCTACCTATGCCCAAAATTAAAACCTCAACGGATTTCGGCCACTTAATTTTGGTGGTGCCCTATTTTCAGTTTTTTTTTTCTTTATTTTTGGTTAGTCATGTGATGACTGGTGCCCCTGCTAAGCCGCTGGTGCCCCTGGAAAGACTGTGGTACCTACCTACCCTGCCCCCTGACAAGCCTACGGTGGGCCCTGACATGACTTAGGTGCCCATGGGCCCTGACAGGCCCGTGGTGCCCCTGACAGGCCCGTGGTGCCCCTGACAGGCCTGTGGTGTCCTTGCTAGGCCTGTGGTGTCCCTGGGCCTTGGCAGGTTTGTGGTGCCCCTGTTAGAACGCAGGTGCCCTTGACAGGTTTGTGGTGCCTCTGACAATCCTAAATTGCCAACGACAGGCTTGTGGTGCCCTTGACAGGCCCATGGTGCCCTTGCGAAGCCGGTGGTTCCCCTGCGAAGCCGATAGTGTCCCTGACAGGCCTCTGGTGCCCCTGGCAGGTCTGTGGTGCCCCTGGAAGACCTGTAGTGCTTTTGCTAGGCCGATGGTGCTCCTGACAGGCCTGTGGTGCCACTGACAGGCCCGTGGTGCCCCTGCTAGGCCTTTGGCACCCTTGGCGGGCCTGTGGTGCCCCTGTCGGCTGTCAGGCCTGTGGTGCTCCTGGCAGGCAAGTGGTGACCCCAGGCCCTAAGTCATGACCCATGTGACCTCCACCCTGGGATTCGCCACTGATTAGTACTGCGATGGCTTCTTGGGAATTATACATGTAGGATAAATGGAATTTATCAAACGACAATAAGGAAGAGACAAACACATAGGTACTTGAGGATCAGCTTAAAGTTAACCACACATACGGGCAGGGGTGTAATTTTCCTAAAATGATTGTGGGTGCCCAGCTGTAGGGGCGCCCGGCGCCAGGCCGTTTTGGGGCGCGATAGATATTCTTTATGTGGGAGCCTAAATTAACACCGAATTTGATAACATTGCTAGCCGAATGGCGCTTCAAGTGACGTGTCTGACTAAGCAAATACACGCTTAAAAGTGGAAACTGACCGGAAGGACGTAAAAAATATGTAGAGAGGCGCCATCCAGTAGGAGGGGCACCAAATGTGGAGGCGCCAGACGGTTACGACTTACGAGGGCGCCGTGAGACGATGAAAAGGGCGCCATTCTCTTAGGAGGGCGCCGCGTGATTGAAAACGCTATGTGGTCTAGGGGCGCTAAGAGGCCAGAAGGGCGCCGCACAGTCAGTAGTGCTACGTTGGTGGGGACGTGGGGGCGCCAGATGGTTACGAGGTCGCCTTGAGATCATGAAAAGGGCGCCATTCTCGTAAAAGGGTGCCGAGTGATTGAAAACGCTATATGTGGTTCAGGGGCGCTGAGACTAGGCCAGAAGGGCGCCGAATAGTCGAGGGATGCACGGTGAACAGAGACCTAAGGACGCGAGACGGTCAGGAGGGCGCCGTTAGAACATGAGAATGGCGCGGTGCTGTCAAAAGTGCGCCATTCTCCCAGAAGGGCGCCGAGTGATTAAAAACGCTATCCATGAACGCGAGACGGTCAGGAGGACGCCGTTAGAGCATGCGAAGGGCACCGTGCTCTCGAAAGGACGCTTGCAGCCTTGTAAAAGACTTGTGGGTGCTTTTTCATCATTGTGGGGGCATAATTCAGGATTGTGGGTGCATATGCCCCCACAAAGAGATATAAAATTAGGTACACCCCTGCATACGGGGGTGAACTGCCATTTTCGTTTAGTAAAAAAAAAAATAAAATAATAAAAATCATCGTGTCAGGGCTGTGACGAAAAATAAATGGCCTAAATCCGATGAGAAAACTGGATTTGGGGGTACCCTAGGTTTGGCTCCTTGAGCCATGGTGCCCCCCCTTGTCTCAAATCGTTCCGCCGCCTATGCTATGTTCTTGGACCTACCCGCACATTCGGCGGCCAATATCTGCCCAAATACGATCCTTTTGCAAGCCTCTTGAACCATGCATTGGCAATAAATCCATGCGCTTTGTGACTTATTTGTGAGACCTCGGGGCATCAAAGCGGCAAGTTGCGCCTCTAATGCCTCCACCCACGCTCCCCTGAGCGCTCGGCTCGGCTCGGCTGGGAGCGGCGCGGCGCGGCGCTTCAAGCAGCAGTTGGGCGGTGACTGGCGCGGCGGGTGGTGCGTGTGGGAGGCCGGTCTGACGCAGAGCGTGTCCTTGTACTCGCTGACGTCGCCTGGACAGTCCACCGCTGTACGGTGAGGAGTGGCTGTGGGCAGTGCACTGTGTGACGCTGTGTGTTGTGATGTGAAGGAAAGCGGTGTGCTGTGATACTGTCGCTGTCTGTGACTCTTGTAGGTACTGTAGTCTAACGCAGCAGGTAGGTATGTTGTGTGACGTTGTGACTTGTGAGCTGGGTGGCTCTGTATGCTGTGATGTGACGCTATGTGTCGTGTGCTGTGTTATCTAACCTGTAGGTAGGTAATTGCTGGGTGCTGGATGCTGGATGGCTCTGTACGTTGTGAATTGTGATGCGGTGTGCTGCTTTGTGACTCTGTGATGTGTGACGTTAAGTGTGCTGTAACTGTGGCTGGTTGCTCTGTTGTGGTATCATTTGTGTCACGACTAATGATAATCCACGAGATTGCGATCAGTTGTGTTTGCGTTAGCAGCTGTGGGCGGATACGAAGATGGATAAGAATGATAAACGTTGACAGTGGCGGATCCAGGGGGGGGGGGGGGCAAAATGGGCATTTCCCCCCCCCCCCAAACGGCATGATTTTAACATTACGCCTATGGACGATGCATGGAAAGAATCGATAAATTTTTATGGTTTGCCCCCCCCCCCCCCAAACCTCTGAGCTGGATCCGCCTCTGAACGTTGAGAGCCGCTCTCAGATTGGTTATCTTCAAGCAACCCGTAAACTGAAATCGTTTGATAAAAAGTTACTTTTCTCGGATTGTTTACCTTTTATTGCTGGACTGACCACTTTGCTACCGCTTCGGAGTCATATCGTGCCTACTCGCATGTTAAATAGAGCTGGTGATCGATGCTTTACAAAACAGCCGTTCTTCGAAGAAGTCCGAATGGTTTGCTGTACTGGAGGCTGCTGACGCTCTGAACACTCGGCTCAACCTTTGGAACTGGGCAGGAAAACCACCTGTCGACCGTCCCTGCGGCGATGACATGGCCCTTTTACTATCCATGCACTTACCCGGGCCGGTACCTACCCTAAAGTTCCCGTTTTGTCGGAGCGTGCTACGACCGCGGTCATTGCCCTCGACACGCCTGACGGCCGCTGCACGCGTCAGGTGGGCTGCGTGTCCGCGTGGTGACGACAGCGCAACCTCCCCCCCCCCCCCCCAGCTCCGGTCTGGGGAAGGGGAGGGGAATCGGCATTGTGCAACCCCGGTGACCACAAACTATCAATTATTATCTTTCCGCCGCCGCCGTGCGGAAGGACACGCTCTGCGCTGCCGTGATGCTCGATGAATTGACACCGGCGGACGACGTTCATTGCATCGATGTAAAAGTCTGGACACTCCCATAGCATGAGTTGTAGTGGGATGATATCACGTGACCGTGCATTAGAAGGTTGGAAAGGTCACGTGACTGTGCATGATGAGGTCGGAAAGGTCACCTGATTATGCAAAGCAAACCGGGACTTATAGGCGACCTAATCGGCGGCAGCCGCTGCCATGGTCTGCACTTGGCACCGTCATCCTGGGCTGATCGTTATTCCACGGGGCGCTTGGTCCCGACGCGTGGCGGCGGAACACCTTCAATTAAGATGGGGGAGGCACTGCCGAGTGCCGACTTTTGGTCCCATTCTTTCCATGCAACGCCTATAGGGCTAATGTTAAAATGCCAAAATTAAGGGGGCACGGTGCCCCGGTGCCCCCCCCCCCTCTTTCCGCCGCATATGCCCGACGTTTAGATGGGCTACTGCGTCTTGACCTTTTCACTGATGTGCCGTAAAACAATAGCGTGGCACATGAAATGTGCGACGCACATTGCATATGGCTGCACGATTTAGAGGGGGATAGTTATCCGCTACACCTTAATAAATAATTCATGCTGTGTTACTGTGTAGGTATTTTTCCAAGGCATTGAATTGAGATGCATGTTGAATCATGGTGCTTCTGAACGTAAGACGTTATTTATTCGAATTTTGAATAAACTTGCCTTGTCCAATGCCCACTGTCCCACAGAACGAGCTTTCTATTATGGCCTGGCGTGCTGAGGGGCACTGCTAAGTGTCATTCGCCTGAGCCGTCTCCTTTTGTGCTGTCACAGTTCTGCTCAGCTGAGTGTCAACGTCCATGGAGACATATGGTACTTGGTCACACTGAGCCCTGTTGTCATTGCTGATGGCAACGTCATCATGACCTCACTAAGCGTGATTCAATGTTCATAAACCATAACTGGATACCTTCGTCGATTCTCCTGGGTTTTGAAACGAGAAATTGAAAAGACGTGTCATTAGGTAGGACTCCTATTTACGACATTAAAACCTATCCACGACATGCATACACGTCAGATTATCACGAATTTTCATCTTGCATGCATAATCGACACCGATACGAGTTACGATCACAATTACAAGCCGTTGCAAATACAAATTCGCTGTTCGACACTCAACAGTGATGTAAAAGGTTCCGTCATAAATCAACAACTCAAAGACATTTTCAAAGTGCATGTTTTCTTCCGGGTTTTGCAGGCTGTAGATATCCCTAAACCCTGTTTGTACGCTCCATCGCACTCTTGTATGCTCATTTCCATCATGTGTTTTTTTTTTCTTACCCGCAGGTGGTGCCAAATATGCAAGTTTCAGTAAGAAAGCCGTACGTGGCGGCGGTGACGGTGGTTGCTTTGTTTCTGTTCCTCGTCTATTGGAGCAATAAATCTCACCCTCTGGTCGGTAAGTGCTAACTAATCTGGGTCTCTAACATGACTGACGTGTCACAGCATCTTCAGCTTACATGCTGTTACGCGTGCTATTTCTTCGTTCAGTAAGTCCTGGAGCATCAAGGCTATGTCACTTATGACCCGTTAAATAGTTAAAAGCGGTTGTTGCACGTTAAAATCGGGCCTAGAACCCGTCAATTGACCTTCACTCGCTGTAAAAAAAAACTAATGACGTGACATCTGGACATTCTTTTCGCAGGAAATCCTACTTAGTCACAACATGAACACAGCAGCAACGCGTCATTTCCACCTGACCGACCAGTTGCTACCCGGCAATACGTGTGCTGTTCGCCTCACTCGTATACCGCACGCACCACATGACACTGGTCCATGCACTTTATCTCACACCGTGTGTGCAGCGTTTCACTGCGCTTTTCCAATGCCTCACCGTGTGTCTCATCATTTGTTTCGCTCACTGCGTGTCTCACTGCGTCCCACCGAGTGTCCCACTGTGTCTCAAAGTGTCTGCCAGTGTGTGAATTGTGAACCCACCATGGAACAGCACACCTAGCGCGCGTTCGGCATCCGGATAATCAGGGAGAATTTTCCGGGATCAGCGAGAATTATCGGGAATCACGTGCGGTATCGCGATAACGAGACATGCTGGAGATAGGCGTTCACCAACAATTTTCCGCCGGTGAATATCCAAACGATAATATTTTCCGGATGCCGAACGCAGGCCTGTTATGTGCCTCACCCACTGTGGCTTGGATACCACCCACCACGATCACCCGCCGCCCGCTGAGCCACCCCGGCTGCCCCGGCCACCCCCTCGACAGGCCGCAGCTCACTGGACCCGGAGCTGATTCAGCTGCTGCGGGATGAGCTCATAACCTCACCCTCCGAGCTGGCCTACGAGCTGCAGCAGCCCGACGTACCCGACCCGTCCGTCGGACAGTCACAGCTCATACTGGAGATACTCGGCAACAAGGTAGGATAGGCGGTAGGTACATAGTGGGTAACCGTTCGGTGGTTAAATGACGGGACAAATTTTGTAGTCCATACAACAGAAGGTCGTCTATTGAAATACCTATTTAAATAGGAAACGTCATAAAATTCCTTTGAACCACCCGAGTCACATCCTGAAAATATTTCCAAACATTTGATTTTAATTTAATTGTTTTATTTTGAGTAAGCTGCCTGCTGTCCAAAGGGTTAAAAAGTATTGCGCCTTTACTATAACGCTGTAAACCGTTATCACAACCGTCCGGACTCTGACATCTGTCTGTACGCTGACAGACGGGCGGCACGTTTATCGAGTGCGGCGCTCTGGACGGCGAGACGCGCTCCAACACTCTCTATATGGAGCGCTACCTGGGCTGGCGCGGACTGCTGATCGAGCCCGACCCCAGCAACTACCAGCTCATGATGAAGAAACACCGGCACGCCTGGACCGTGCCCGCCTGTCTGTCAGGCAGCACCGTGTCCGAGGTGAGAGGTGTGTCAGAGGTGAGCTAACGTGTCCGAGGTGAGAGGTGTGTCGGGAGCACCGTGTCCGAGGTGAGATGTGTGTGTCAAGGAGCACCGTATCGAGGTGAGAGGTGTGTCGGGGAGCACCGTGTCCGAGGTGAGAGGTGTGTCAGGGAGCACCGTGTCCGAGGTGAGAGATGTGTCAGGCAGCACCGTGTCCGAGGTGAGATGTCGTGTCGCGAGTGAGCTACACCGTACACGTAGTGTAGGGGTGAGTTATCGTGTCAGGGAATCTACCATCGTGTCAGAGTTGAGCTGTCGTCGTGTCGGCGGTGAGCTATCGTGACAGGTGTAACTTATCGTGTCAAAGAACGGTAACAGCGTCCGACCTGCTGCTAAGACCGTGTTCGACCTGAGCTATCGTCAGTGGTGAGTTTCAATGGTCAGCTATCGTCATGCCTGAGGTTAGCTATTGTTAAGTAAGTGGGTAGCTACCGTCACTCGGGAGGGAGTCTGGAGCACTGTGTAAGGGGAAGGCTGTTAGAACTATCGCGTCATAGAAGGTCTATCGGTAGGGCCATCGCGGAACGAGGCCAAGGGCTTGCTTGTCATTATCTGGCGGATTGAGGTAAGCGCACAATGCACATACATGATGAAGGATTTGTTCGGACCGAGACGGCGCAGTTTGTTTGGTCACTGAGACGCACCCCTATAGCTCCGGAAAACACAATTCTAACGAAAAGTGTTCGGAAAGTGTTTGTCATTTTTCAAACAACCTGTGGTTATACCGCTGAAAGCCAGCCGTTATATGTTTGTAAGCACCGCACTTTGGTACAAAGTGGTGCAACTGAGTAGTACCGCCCCTGAATATGCCTGTCAGTGTTTACTTGCAATATTCCTCACCCCTGCTTGTCATCCTAACCCCAGCTTCTCATCCTATCACACCGCGGTGCAGTTTCTGATAGTCACAGGCGGATAAATACAAGGGGTTGTGGGTGTTCGGGCACCGCAAATCTGCCGTCTCAGCACGCCGGCTTGGCTTTCGGGCCGCCGCAGACGGCGGGGTCAAGGTCACCGTCAAGGTCAAGCCCATAGTTCCTTCTAATTTTCCACCTAAGTTGATAGACTGTACCACACAAGGGACATCCAACCGCTTACCGATGAACTATCCCACTTCTAACCAACCAATTGTTCATTCCAACCGTTCATTCAATCGCTAACTTTAGTTATCCACAGTTTACGCATTGCTGAGCTGACCCACCAATTCACTCCCCGTCAGCTCACTAACCATACTACCAACACACCAACACAAAACACCAACCCATCCCACCACTAACTCCCAACAACCCCTCCACCCGCAGGTAACGTTCAAGCAAGACTTCAACATGGGTATGATTGACGACGGTTTGCCGGCGCGGGGAAAGCCGGCTCGTGGCAAGCGCACACATTACGCCAAGGTCCTGTGTGTGCCGCTAGAGGCGCTACTTCTGGCGCTGAGATGGAAAACGGTCGACTACTTCAGTCTGGATGTTGAAGGGCACGAGTACGCAGTGCTGGCTGCACTGCCGTTTGATCGGCTGGACATAAGGGTGAGTGAGAGGGAGAGAGAGAGAGAGAGAGAGAGAGAGAGAGAGAGAGAGAGAGAGAGAGAGAGAGAGAGAGAGAGAGAGAGAGAGAGAGAGGAAGAGAGAGAGAGAGAGAGAGAGAGAGAGAGAGAGAGAGAGAGAGAGAGAGAGAGAGAGAGAGAGAGAGAGAGAGAGAGAGAGAGAGGCGTCGTGGTGGTAAGGGCGTTGGTTTGATGTGTTGCGGGATAAAAATGCTAACCAAAATGCCACTGTTGTCGATGAATTTTTATTGGTGACTAACATGACTGTTAGCGAGTCCATAGACATGCACGCTAATGTGTGAGTTGGATACCTGCATTCCGGTCATCTAATACATAGTCCCCGGTTTATGAGGCGTAAGTGCAGTAAATTATCGACATCTGTTTATCCCCTTCGACACTTTGAGGTTCCCCTAATCATGTCAGTACATGACAATTCGTTTTCGTGGATCCAATGAAGTAGGCTTCGCGATCTTCTGGCGGTGGCTCTGTGCTATCTATTCTCTCACTGACACCAGCGCGCCTCATTTCGCAGACGCTCTCTGTGGAGTTTCGTCACGTGCCTGAGGGTAAGGAGGCCATCCGCCGACTAATGGAATCCAAAGGGTACGAGGTGTATACGGAAATCACGCACCACGACGACCTGGCCAACGACTTTATCTTCCGACGGAAAACGTAGTGCTGTGACCCCGCTGACGTCGTACGGCGGCCGGGCCGACGACGGCCTCTCTGTGATGGGTGCTGCGGTGCAGTGTCTGCGGTGTAGTCTGTGTGATAAGTTAAAGAGCGTGAGCGGTCAGGGTAACGTGTGGCGTGTGTTTTTAGATGAAAACTTTTCGGTGCGTGGGTATGAAAACATTAGGTTTTGACAGCTACCAAAGTGCATTATAGAAATGGTTTTAATTAATATTGTATCGCAGCACGCATTACAAGTAATAATAAGGATAGTATTAGTTGTGCCAATGCGAGAAACATATGTCTCCTTCAGTCATAGTCGCCTTCCGTACCAACGATGTGGTTTTAAACAGGTATTATAATTATTTAATGCGATGCATACGCGTTGTCGCAAATATCTTAGTCACCCGCCCACATGTTTGCTGTGTTTGCATGTTCCGTTCTGCCTTTCACATGTTTGTTTTATCTTTCCAAGCATCGTTTTGTTTTGCCGTTTTGCCTGTCAAAGTCTGTTTTTGGTGTTCGCATTGTTTCGCAATCCCTGTTAATGAGCTTTTTCATACCGGTGGCTTGGGCTCTTGTTTTTATCTAGCCATGCGGCGCCCAACATTGAGGGATTGCTAAGAATAATGCGATAGTCCCGATATATTCAACGGGCATGGAGCATATACGAGGATTTGTACGTGCTTCTTTTAAAGGTAGTGTGCCACCTTTGAAAGATTTCCCGTTTTATTTTTCCTAGGATAAGAAGCTTCTGTTTTTACCTAATATCGCAAAAAAAAAAATCAAAAATGGGCCTGGAATAGTGCCTTTTTCGCCTAAAAGTTTATCGGTTTTTAGATATGTATAACAACTGTAGTGGGCTCACCTGCAAACAGGCGTCGGGCAACAATCGCGAATGCGGCGCACTTGTGACAATAAGCAAAGGTCATTATAGTGTTACGACCATACGACGTACGGGAATGAGTTATCAGCTGTCTAATCGTAGACAACACAATGTCGAGCCTTAAACTGTAAGCCTGTATTGGTATTGTTTCTTAAATTTGGCTGTCGAACATTAATTTGTGGTTTGAAATATGATTTTATGTAAAATAATTGATATGAAACAGCCGTCTCTTAAGTTATGACCCCATTACACCACACGCAAGTGGCAGAAATGACAATGATCAGCTGACGCATTTTTCTTGGCCGAAGTCAGAGCGCGCGGCCCGACGCACCACGCGTATTTGGAAATTCCGACCTCGACGAGCATCAGAAGCCACCTAACAGGCGTGTTCGAAACCGCAGGAGATGATGATGAACGGGTTTATCGAAACTTGATTGGATGAGCCTATCGGTAATAGCGATTTTAGTGTGTGCATTTATTGTTCATAGTGGTGTGAAATGTGGTTGGGGTACGACCGACAACCCGTCCGGGCGAATTTCGCACTGGGGTACTCAAAATTTGAAGAATTTAAGACGTTTCCGTAAGTTTTGAAGGTATGGATAAGTTCTAAAAATCCGGTTCTCCTTATCCGGGTCATTAACTCCATATGGTCCAAGAAAGCTGGCACACTACCTTTAACAGTCTTTCGTGTTGTGGTGCCCAGTACTACCAAAAGCTAATGTCTCGCATATGGGTCAAATAGTATATTTCGGGGGTATTATACGGGTATAATGGGTGGTCTGACATTTAACTCTCCATTATGAAGGGTAGCATGAATTACTTAGGCGGGGCATAAAATGACACGGTGACCTGTTGTGGTGACACAACAGTGACGACGCAGTCACCTCTGCTATCAACTCTGAAACCGACGAGAAATGTATCATTTCTCGTAGAATGTGGCACTGTGTCCAATCCACATATGGTACTTCATCTATGTTGGTCACAATCCCAACAACACTTGGACTATTAGTACCAGGGTGATAGAAACATTCATTACAGTAAATCTCACTCATTCTGATATAATCATAGGGCTATATACTGGATACGGCCATAGATACTGGACAACAGAGTGCTTTTTAAAAAGATATTTGTATATGAGATTCAGTCCATGGGCATGCAGGATTGTTACAATGTTTGAAATCTCGCCTGACAGCAATGTGCCTCAGCTCGATTAGATGCGAATCGCAATGTCATTACAAGATCGCCTGTTCAAATATAAACTCACACTGTTCGTCATACTGACGATCGCGTGTTGCACTGTTAGTCATCGTCAATTCGTGTAAATAAAAAGTTCACTCAGTTTGTTACTTCAATGGGTACGAACAGTTGAATTCACCGTGTGTATTCCCTGTACAGCTGTATTCACCTGTCAAAGGTTGCCACAAGGCCTGTCGATGTGGATGGATGTCATCGGCCATCGTCTGGGCTGGGGTCAATTGCACATAGTATCAATGAACTTTAACAACAGGCTGGTAAAGTCCATCAAGAGATGGTGAGACTTGTGTATCGCCTTGTCCTACAAAAAGTGTCCATTTCCTCTGACGGACACAGAGTGGTGTGCCCGCCACACGGCATCATTCTCAACACATCATCACAGCACAGCCTCCACATGACACTGCGCCAGCACTACCTTTACGGACAAAACAAAAACACCGCACGACATCTACCGACCGTCAAAACAAAGCCACTACACCATTAACAGCTTCTGACGGACTTACGCCGACCGGTCCGTAGTGACGTCACGAGGCCCAAACCAGTGACGTCACGAGGCTCGGTCGGAGCAGCCGCCGGGCCTGGCGGGCGGCAGGTCGACGTCCCGGTACGGCACGTTGTCCCACATGTACGTCTCCTTGTTGATGCGCAGGGCTGTCGGTAAAGTTGGGTTTCAGAAAGTGTGCGTGGTCGAGCGTGTGGACCTTAGACACTTGTTGAGAATAGTTGACATTTCTACAACATCAAAAAGTTGATTTTTACGCAGTGGCTGAACATGACGCAAAACGGGGACGCTGTTAGTTTTTAGGCTTTTTGTATTGTATGATGCAATGTATCCCTTGGAAGCCCAAGTCCCTTGCTCACCATATCTGCCAGGCTCCGTCTCTTTCGCTTGCATTACTGTTTTCAATAGAACAGTTTCACATTCTTTCGAGAAGTTCACCAGCTGAAAACATAAATTCCGTCAGAAAATATGACGATATATGACGAAATATGATGATATTGCTTATTTTTAATGTTGTATGTTCACGCCCCAGCATGCGAAATAGTTCCAGCATGCATGATGGGATGGCAGAAGACTGTCGATCGGTCGAGCGGCTTCCGCAATGCATATCAATTTCACCTATACGACTTTGGGCCGCGGCAGAGGGCCGCATCAGCCGCTCATACTGAGTTTTTCGTCTTTCGCTCGCTCGTTACTTATGATCGCTTCACCCAGAGCATACCTCCTTGATAGAGTCTTCATTGGTCACTCCCCTGTTCTTTTTGTACTCTTCATTTATTTTGATCCTGGCAGCTGAAAAATAGATGGGTTCTAAAGTAAAATTCTGAAATACCTAAACAAAGCAATGGTGGTCTATATATTTCTTTCATACCTAGCATCTTGAAATAGCACTTACGTGGCAAGGGTCAAGGGAAGCAATAGGTATGTAGTCTGAGAACTCCTAGATGAAAATCAGGGCCATAAAAGTGACCCCTAAATATTTTATTGAATGGTCACTTGATCTATCTTTTTGCTTTATATTATCGTTTTATAAATTTAGCTCGAATGTTTGAATGGACGGATTGACAGAGCCGGAGCCCACGCTAAGCAGAGCTTGTTGCGAATACCCCGACCCCTACCGTCCGATCGCGCAATTCCGGGTAACGGGAGAATTTAGATGCCAAAGTTTAACGTGTCCTTCAAAGCCGGACACGGCCTGTCCCACTCAACTGACTTCAACTGGCTGCGGCTGCTCCCACCAACCGCAGACCATCCCCGTCAGGAGTCTCAAATATCGAGCGCCGGAGCGTCTCGAACCCGGGCACTCACTACCGAGAGTCCGATGCTCTACCAACTGAGCTACGGGACAGGCAACATTATGTGTCAATATAGAAAGTGATATCTCTTAGTCAGAATAACAGTTACCTATTCATCGACTGATGCGATACTCACCTGACAATGCAGCATCATCACCAGCAAACACCTCTGCCCTTGCACGATGTATCCTCTTGAATGCAGATAGCACCTGTAATAGCAGATGGGTCATGTATCCATCAGCTGATAAACATCTCACATTATATAATACTGTTATTGTGTCATGAATCATGAAAAAGGGGCTGTCACCAGAAATTAGAACCTGAACTATGGCGGCCCACTTGTCATCTGCCTCCAAAAATGGTGACTTTGAAAGAAGGTTGAAACAAGTAGAACTCTTTTAGCAAATGGAGTTTACAATGATTCCAATGAAAAGTAAAAGCAGTAGAAACACTGAAGCTAAAAATACTTGCCTCCTTTCTTAGAGCACCACTCATGCTGTACGACACTTGCAGTTGGCAGGGGAAGCAGCCAGTTAGCAGCAATTACTGGACATTCCTGCACAGAGATGTGCGGGGCTTGAGAAATCACATCTACATTCATCACAATAGTGTTACGACTGTCCACAATCTTACATCTGTCAATTATTTCAGCAATAAGGCTGCTAATTAAATTGTTATAGTACTGTTTCAGGTGGGAGGAGTTTTAAGCTATTAGTTGTCAGACATTAAATGAAAAGCTTGCTGCGTCTGCTCTTAAAGCTAAAAGCTTGGCTGTGTCTCATTTTTCCTGAATCTTTCAAAACCTACCCATCTGAGTCTCCCTCAACCTCAGTGTGTTACAAAATGGAAACAGAATTAGCTGTGATGTCGCTGCTGAAAGAAATGGGGTTTCTGTAAGATCAATACAAATTCAATGAAAATTATTGGTTACCATGATGTTCTTTCAACATCATGGCATTGGCATTTGGTAACAGCATATTCATAACAGTTGGGGGAGGTTTGGTCAATGGTTGTCATTTTTAGCACATGCCATTTTTGGCAACCATGTGCTAAAAATGACAACGCTATCAGCTATTTTTAGCAACGATGAAGCCGATTTCACTCCTCAGCGAGGAAATCACGATTTTGGAAATACAAGCACTGATTTTGGAAAATAAGTGCTGCCACCTGGTGCAAGAAGAAGAAACCAGCTTTAACCCTCTAGTGCCCCCGGTATCATATCTGTAAGTCAATTTGCAGAAAATTCGCGCGCTAATCCTGAAGGCGAAAATTGTTGAAAACCCTGCTGTATCATAAGTGGTACGTCTTGGCAACCACCTGGTGGCAAAATTTTTAAGTAATGATTTCTCAGTTTCCCACCAGGTGATTTTGAAGAGGGTCAGTTTGTCCTTTGCTGAAAAGCTATTTGAGATGCAAGTGTAAATTTTAGCATTTAAAAAACAAAAAATAGTTATTTGGAAAGAAACTTGGTATACTGTGAGACAAATGTCCAGAATTTATCACAGTATGTTGCAAAACATCGCAGCTATTTCAGGGTCAAAGATATGGACCCCTAATTTGGGGGATACTAGATATGATACAGTGGGCATAGCACTCCAATATTTTCTATGAAATTTTCGCCGCTGCAACATACGGTGTGCCAATACCATAGTTTTCTCAGGTTATAAGCATTGCAATGGCCTGTGAGTCATTGAAAATGACGATGGTACAAGATGCATAAATTTGTGAAGTTCGCAGCCCTGGCGTCAGATAACTCTATTTCGCTCCAGACTCGATATTTCATAACGATATTCGTACGCTTATGCCGCCTCTCATCCTTGTCAATCACCTAACATCTAGCTGTCCATGAGTGGCCTTACATGCCTCATACATCTCGACTTTTCTAACGCTCATAGGAATCTGGTTTTCCAACTGTTTGACGATGATAACAGTGAACTTTTTGATCTGCAGGACACTGCAAGACCATATCTTCTAAAACCACGTTAGGAATGACATGCCATCGATGACAAGCTTGTTGATTTCAAGGGACGATCATCCGTGCAAGCATTTATACTCGTGAAACCAAAAATTGAGACTTGACTATGTTTGGGAAAGGAGGATTCAGCGGTCTCTTGCACAATTTCGATATTCCAACAGGGTTTGTGGACGGGCTTATGTCTTGTGGGTCTATGTCTTAGCTGGGCATGGCCGAAGACTTGAATTAGCAGCCAGCCAGCATTTTTCATTCATACTGGAGAACGACTCACAATTTGTTTGCGATTCAAATCCCCTCCGTTCATCCCAGTAGTAAGAGATTGAATGTGGAGTGGAAAACTACACCGTCATCGTCAGAGGAAGCTAGCTAAACGGACTCGCCATGAAGACAGACGTCAAGACCGAAGGACGTGGTTCCTTTGATTTACATATCCAAGAAGTAGGCAACCATGCACTGCTGCCAGGATCCAACAGGTGCCTGACAGCTGGCAAACATTTTTAGTGCCAGGTATGTCATTAGTTGTCATATATTGACATATGCCGCCAAGTATGGTAGCTGATTGCCACTGAACAAATAGGATTTATACTAAAACATGGACACTGACCATAAGAATACAAGTTAAAGTGCGGCATTGCGTACGCTCACCTCCATATGAGGTCAATGAACATTGTGCAAGTTCCTGCCGATCGGTACACAGTTACCTGTACCTTTGTTGTCTGACACGTACAACAGTTACTGCACTGGTCACTGGTCAGTGCGCGGCTGTTGTACTGACGCCGATGACATGAGGACCGCACGACCAGTCAAAGTGCTAACTGACGATTCACAGTCTGAGAGTTTCAGTCACCAGGGATTGTCCGGCTATCGTGAAGATAATTCAACATCGTCTTTGGCATTGATTCCGGTCCGTCGGCAGGCTGTCCAGCATTTTGCATTAGAACTGCTTCACTTCGACCACTTACCGACCAACCGTAATGTCTTCATTTTTGTATCAAGTATGTATAATGCACGTTTGAGAAGCATGGCCCACATGTCTGAATTATGAAAAAAAATGCGCAAGTGCAACGCGCTGTATCGTGGAAATTAAAGGAATAGAAGGCACTCGTAAAAAGATGCCTATGATTAGCGTTGTTCCCTTCGTACCGACTGAAAGGGCATTTTGATACAAGTAGGATACCAATGAAATATTGAGAAAATGTTCTGATAAGTGGCGCACAGTAAAGGATTTCTTGTTTGCATTTTACACATTTTAACTGCCGCTTTTATCTCTGAAATTTTTCAAAACATATATCTTCTCATCTATGTCTTCACTTCCTTCTGTGTGGTCTGATACCACTAAAAATAACCAAGTGGAATGCCTAATGTATCATATTTGATACACAAATTATTTCCGAAATTTGAACTGCGAAAAATTTTTGACTTCAGATTGCGAACAAGGGACCCAAAATGAATCATAGGTCACGAGGTGCTAATTTTAGGAACCGTGGAACTATGTGTGGGCATTAGAGGGTTAATATGGCCGTTGTTTGTATGGTAGTCCAACGTTGAAGTATACCCTTTTTTGTGGCCCGAAGTTGGAACTTTAAATTGAAGCATCCGAAAATGATCGATATTGATCGAAATCATGATGTTGATGAAAAAAATAATATGTTAAGTTGAGAGAGGAGGCCATTTTATCCAGATGCGGTGGTTTACTTCTTGAAATTATTTTTGCTTACGACGACTGCCATGTAATGAGGGATAATTAGCAGCCGTCATTAGCAAAAATAATTTCAAGAAGTAAACTACTGCATCTGGATAAAATGGCCTCCTCTCTCAACTTAAAATATTATTTTTTTCATCAACATCATGTTTTCGATCAATATCGATCATTTTCGGATGCTTCAATTTTAAGTTCCAACTTCAGGCCACAAAACAAACTACCATACAAATAACAGGCATATTAAAGCTGGATTCTTCGTCTTGCACCAGGTGGCAGCACTTCTTTTCCAAAATCAGTGTTTATCTTTCCAAAATCTTCATTTCCTCGCTGAGGAGTGAAATCGGCCTCATCGTTGTCAAAAATAGCAGAATCGTTGTCATTTTTAGCACGTGTGACAAAAATAGCACGTGCTAAAAATGACAACGATTGACCAAACCTCCCCCGACTGATAATGCAAGACATGGGAAAAAAAACTTTGGAGCTTAGAAGGTGGCACAGTTGCAAGGGAAGAAAATGTTCTGAAAATTGTATAGGTAATTCCAAATGACCTTTACATTAAGTCATCATGGCGATAATTATTAGGTATTTTGACGTCGGTTGATGCAAGGGATGGAAAAAGATATTTAAGGTATCTAATGATTATTCAGTACCTATTCATCTGGATTAAGCAGGTAAGGATGATCAATTTGGAGCCAAATGCCATCATATCTTGTGCTCATGTTTGAATTCTAATCATCATAGGTTCTATGAGACTGCATTATTATAGGTATTTACCTACCTACCTATAAAAAAAAACACTTCAACTTCTACGGAGTGGAGTTTTAGAATGAATTATGCCAATTTAAGGCGTTTATGCACATAAAAATAGCTACCTTACCTCTTATCGAATAAGTAAAAATATTTTTTAGGAACGGGGACCGAGTGGCATTTGCCCGAATGCTCCCGAGTCCAACGTCTTACGACGCACACTGCACACCGGTCGTTTCCGTCGATCCGCAGTGATGACATCATTGTGACGCCACTCGGCAGGTGCGCAGTGCCATCGATACCTCTCGGGACGGATGGTGCGTGTCACCAGCTGGTGTCACCCCCCAGTGGCGCCGCTCTCTGCGCCCCCCACCCCCTCCCGTCATAGTTACAACTCAGTCGGTCATCCACGCACCAGCACGTGTGCCCTTCACTGCAGCCGGCGCCCCTCCCCAGCTCACGGCTCGATGGTTGTCGGTCGGCCACGGAGGAGCGTCACGGGTCTGTCAGTGTATGGAGGTGCGTGGCAGCGAGTGAACCGAGCTGCGTGTGGGGTCGTGTCATCAGGAGTTGGGATTCTCGTGGTGAGACGGTGTCAAATTGGGAGCGTTTTGGCGAGGTGATTGGTGAAACGCGGCAGCTGAGAAACGTTGATATTGATTAAGGAGGAAAAATCGGTCGTAGTTATAACTATCTGAAAATGATACCGAGATAAACGAATCTGCAATTTCAATTCAGTCCAAGAAGGATACTTTTGACATCGTAGATGAACGAGCCCAGTCATTTGTTAAATCCCCCTCGAAAGGCATTAGGGATGGCAATGGGATAACAACCCATGGAAATCTCCCAACCGCTTATCCCCACGGCAAGGCAACAGCTCGTGACTCTATCAAACGTTATCCTCACGGGGCATTGGACATTCGAGACATCAACAGCACGCTCAAACCAAAACTGAACGAAACAGTCATTCACGACGAAAGATACAAAGGCCATCCTTCAAGGTATGCAACTGAAGATCTCGTAGTGAGGAACTACGTCGTAAACGGGATTAAACGTGGCGTGGGCCTTGAACAGACAAGAGACAAGACTGAACACACTCATGAATTTAACGACGATACATTAGATGACTCCAACATTGAGATTCCAAAAAACGTCTTCACCACTCACAATATGTCTGTTGAAAATGTGGACAGCTCCCCAAGTGATTCAAATAATTCTAGCTTGTCAACGAGCGAACACCGGAGTCACATGAAACTAATGGACGATATAGTTTTTATTCAACCGAACTTTTTTGGAAACGGCAGACCCAAAGCACTTCCGGCACCACATGAAAATCCGGACACATCCGAATCGGAGCCTAAGTCTCTGGTTGTGGAAGCACCAGAGACCGACTCTGTTGCGCTCATCGATCAGCGTCACGAGCAGACGGAGAATATATCGGTGACAGCCGTCGACCGAGACCAATCGTCAGCACCACAGGCGATCTCCGACAAACAGCCAGAGTTAGAGGACACGGAGGACCCAGAGCAGTCAGCTAAGGACTTCCGTGACAGCTCCTCAAGCACTACCACCAGTTCTCCAGCAGAGCTCAAACTAAACATAAATACCAACCACGGGCTGGAACTCAAACTTAACCAAGTCGCGAAACAAGAACTACAGGTGCAAGACAAACTACAGGATATTCCAGGGGTGATATTTGAACAACACGAACCTGTTTCAAATGGTGTTTCAGTAATCGAATCAAATTTAAATGATCTTCCCTCCAGTGATGTATCCCCCAAACAGATTAAGGAGCCCAAATTGCCAAATACTAATGAGTCTGAATCCCAGGATACCCTGGAATCTGGCTCCGAACATCCAGATTCCACCGATGAGGAGGACTTTCCGTTCTCGGACATCCTGGGGCGCGGCGGTGACCTGCTGAAGGGGGTCGTCGTTTACACCATCGACCCATTCGCTGCCAGAAGAAGAGGTGAGTAGGAGACGATTATACACTGCACTGCGCACATGTCCGTCACATTCGTTTAATTTTACATTAAAAAAGGTGTAGGTATGTCTTAATGCTTTGATATTTTCGTTAGAGGGACCCTCCCACCTTAACATTAGATTTGAGTTGAGATAGCCAAAATGGGGTCCCTGGCTCACAATTACCGGTTTCGGCATTTACAACATCGAGAAATGCCTTAAATCGGAAATATTGAATTTCAAAATTGCAGCATTTTGATTCAGAGGGGCTAATGCATAGGAATACCCCTCTGAATGTGTGACGTCAGCGCAGATATCTAACGATTTTAAAATGTTTGACTAAAACGTTTTGTAGCACGCGGTGGTATATGCTGCTTAGCGCGCAACAAATGCCGCACTTTCAAATAAAGTCGCTAGGAACAGCGGAGATCCCAAAAAGTAAACAAAAGTAAAAGTCTAATATCTTGAAAACCGGTGAATATTTTTCGATGAAATTTGGTAGATATTCGTTTTTGCTCTTTCTGAACCGAGCGACATCACTTTCATGCCAATTCATTAACTTTTTTGAAGGTGGGAGGGTCCCTTTAAGTACTGCCTATATTGTTAACTTGTGTTGTAATAAGAGTACCTTATTGCCTGGTGCTAATCCTAGTTTTATTTCCCACTCTCGGGCACCTTTTCAAACGTTTATGTTTGGCTATGAATTCCACAAGTGCTGATCAACGTCTGTAGAAAGCAACATTACAAACACAAACACTGCTGTAGCACACCACTCTGCCTGCCCGAATTCCCTAACACTATCTGAATGTGTGGAGACTGCAACAGCCCACACCACACTACCACCAATATCTGGAGACTGCATCGGAGCAATAGACAGTAGCACCACACTACTACCAATATCCGGAGACTGCATCGGAGCAGTAGACAGTAGACACCACACTAACACTTCATAACATCAACATGGAGACTGCAGTCTGCATCTGTGCAGTAGACAGTAGCACACCACACTAACACTTCATAACAGGAGACTGCATCGGTGCAGTAGACAGTAGCACACCACACTAACACTTCATAACATGGAGACTGCATCGGAGCAGTAGACAGTAGCACACCACACTAACACTTCATAACATGGAGATTGGAGACTGCATCGGAGCAGTAGACGGTAGCACCACACTATCACCAATGTATAGAGACTGCATCGAAGCAATAGACAGTAGCACGCCATCACCAATATCTGGAGACTGCATCGGAGCAGTAGACAGTAGCACACCACACTAGCGCTTCATTACATGGAGACTGCATCGGAGCATTAGACGGTAGCACCACACCATCACCAATATCTGGAGACTGCATCGGAGCAATTGACGGTAGCACTGAGAGCCCGAGAGCTCCTACGGCTCACACGACAGAAGCACCAATTTATTTTGAAATGGCCGTTCACTGAGACAGAACGACAAAATGGTTTGCGGAATGGAGATATGATTAGCATTTTCTTTTTGGACTTTTTTTTCTACTCTTCGTGGACGTTGGGGCTCTTGATATGAAAATTAATGCTTCACTTGATTACATTCATGTGATAAGATTTAGTTTTAGCGTATGCTCTACCGGTTTTCCTTTCTTATGTTCCGCAGTTATTAAAATTAACTGCTAACCGTGCGCAGTTAGAATTGTCAACCAACACTCGTTCAAACGTCAAACTCTATGAGTCCAGCGCCACGTCTGTTTTTCCAAAACTACCTTTACATCCCTTGTAAGCTTTCTCTTGTTTCGCTGCTTGGTGGTCCTCTTTCCAGGCCCACTATGAGCTAGGGTTATTGTTAGCATAATAATAGCCACCTACCGAGGCATGTGTTGTTGTGCCTCACCACGGTTCGTTGGAGAGAATCATTGACCTGCCCCTCCCCCCCCCCCGTGGGCCTCCCACTCTGGGGAGCGAAACGAGGCGCATTGCGTAGCTCACCCTAATCGGACCAAGCTCAGAGTATGGGAGCACCCAGTGAGCTCAGCGGGGTGTGAACTGTGTAGGACCAATGTTCAGGCTGGTATATACAGCACCGAGCAGTTTAGTTCCGGTATGAACCGCGTGATGGCTCTGTGGTAACGATGATAGCGCGAGAAACGAAGGCCGTCCGCTGCGCAATGGGCGAAATAGCCGATTTTCATGCCGGCTAACTAGTGAAATTGGGGATTTCTGACAGCTGGTAGGTTTCAGCGGGCACGATGAATTTGCACCGAGATTTATTGTGCAATCTAGCTGTTCCGATGGTTGTGCTACAGTACCATTTTAATTTCTATCAGTGACGGTTATATTTGGGTCTATTTTAATTACGGTGCGATTAACAAAGCATCAAATATGGCGCAACGTGTGCAACTGGTTGTAATATTTTATTCGTACATAGCAAAACCATTTTACTTGCCCTGAATATTGTAACCACAATTGAAAATAGTTCAGGCTTATTATAACGGCAACATGCTTTGCAGTAAGATGCAATGCTTTGATTACTCTAGAGCTTGGTCTGAAGATAGTTTCAAACATCATACTAGGTATGTATAATACTCAAACAGATATGGCAATCGTCGTTATAGCATTTATAAGCTGCCTTTTGACATTTTCCCAGGTGCAACATTGAGCTTGAACTAACCAATGTCCCTTGGTAACGTCGTAATTAAGCAATATCTCTGTTTGCAGGGGGTTGGAGGCCGGTGCCCTCGGGCCCGTCACCGGCTGTAGCCTCTGCTCGGCTCACAAAGGGGTCAGTCGGGGCCGATCGGAAGACAAAGGTCACGGCCAGGTCACGGGACGGCCTGTTCAGCTGTCACGGCCGTGAGCCCGGCTACTATCCGGTGCGACAGTCCGGCTGCCAGGTAAGTTCGTACGTTTACTATCCCGTCCAACATAAAGCCCTGCTACTATCCGGACTGTCGAATACTACTCGGTCCAACAGTTCAGCTGTCAGGTAACTATATAGGCATAGCCCGGTTACTAACCAGTCGGACAGGCGGGCACTACTATCCAGTCTTTTAGTCTGGCTGTCAAGTCAGTATACATAGCTTGGCTTTTATCCGGTCCGTCAGTCAGACTGTCTGGTAAGCATAGTCCGTTTACTTTCCGTTAAGACAGTCTGGCTGTCAGGTAAGAAGTGCCCAGCTAATACTGAGCAGACAAGATGTGGCTGGGCTGAGGCAACAGTGTGACATCGGTGGTAAGTTATGCGACTTAATTTCAGCCGGACTAGTGACATTTGTGCATTTTTTTACGAATTCATTTATAAAGTCAGTCAGATCGCTTACGATCACCAAACATCACTGAATGAGTCATACCCTGCGTCTTGGGATTTCATACAGCATACACCCTTGGATTGGATCTGACCCTTCAGGCCCTTGGGTCTGTATATGAGAGGGACAACGGACGCAGAGCGCCCCCGCCTATTCCGTGAGTGTCGCGTCAAGCGGGGGTTCTGATTCCGACTGGTAGGTGGCCGAGGAGCTTCAACTCCACAGGGATTGCCGAGGTGACCCTCGCGTAGAGGGCGCCCCGCACCATCACCATAGGCTACAGTTGCGAGCTAGCCATTTGTTTGTGGGGGAGGTGCTGTTATATGTTATGCAATCACCCAAGTACGTACAGTATAGAGGTACAGGGACCCGCAGTTGCTACTGTACACATATATTACCAATTTAGAATTGTGCTATTATTTGCTAAGTGCTGGCCATTGGAGAAAAGAAATGTAGCGCAAAGTATGGAGGAATACCACATGTTTGCTCCTAGGATGTATGTTTTGTATAATTCCTCTTACCGCAACAGATATTCTTTCAAAACTACAATCGTGCTATTTTTCTGTGCCGGTTGCCTCCCCAGAGCCCGGCCGTGGTATCGCCTATAGCTTCCGTTCCCGCTACGTGAATGAAAGTCACGTGACTACTACACGCTTGCGCTCAGTACTAACACACCTAGCCCGAGGGCCGGTCCGTAGCGGGGAGGGGTAGAACGCCAGAGCTCCAGCGCAGTGGAGGTGGTGGTGGCCCGTATCATAAAGAGGCAACCGTAAGCAGAACTACAATTGCCGCAGTATGAGATTATGATAAGGTTTTCTTTAAATGTATTGATTGACATGAAAGTGCAATGCTTATCCGATATAATAAAACGGTGTCCAAGGCCTTGGAAGTACTGCAAAACATATTCAGGAACGTATAAATTTCTGATACGCGCCATGACCTTTCACCTTGCCTCCGGGGAGGACCGCTCAGGAATCCACATACCGAACGAATCGAGGCCTCGCAGCGCGGCGGCAGACGAGGTGGATAAACCATCGCCAGATCTTTCGGTTACTTATGTTTCCAGAAGAAGGTGGTTGGAGGGTGAGGGCTGTTTTCAACCCACTCATCAATCCTTTCCTTATTAAGTTACAGCTTACCGAAAAAAAAAATGCAACACAAGGCCGTCACGAGATGTAGCGAAGTGCCTCAGCCACACCGGTTTTGAGTAAACCTTAAGCATTGGAATTCAGGCCAGTGATCCTGAAGCATTATTCTATTTTTTGTTGTGCATAAGCTGGGGTGACGTGGGCCAAGTTAATTGCGAAGAAACGGTTTTAGTTTCAGAACATTACTGAGGCTAGTCGCGTCAAATAGTATACGTTTGTTGCAAAATGTAAAATTAGAATGTTGACGTGCTATCCAGATGGTGGAATTTATATGACACAAGAAGTCCAAAAGTGGCATCGTTAGTCATCCTGCATACCATATAAATCGATTCGTCACCTCGGTTCGTGCTCAATAGTTCTTTTCGAGGATGATCGATTTCGTTTTTTTTAGGGGGGGGGGCAGTTTATGAGCCAGCAACCACCCTCCCCAGTCCCCCAACAGCGATTGTTGACAAATACTATCACTGGCTTCTTTTCTGAATGGAGGTCGCATGAATGAACGAATGAATAGCTCTACATCATTTGAGCAGCAGCTGAAATCAATCATAAAATTTGATCTACCAGTCTGCAACGAAAAGGTTTAAAATAAAAACAAGTGCAAGTTAAGTTATTAAGTGTCTCATAGCTCCTCAATCTTGTGCCGCTTCTCTCACGATTCATTTTATGTGATGCTTACCTACATTGTTCAAGAAGTCATAGCATTCGAGCTCGTTGGTCTTAAAAACTGCTATCGAAGTAAATTTAAGTGCTTCGGCTTCGGCACTTAAAAACCAATCGATATTTAAACCTCACCCATTTAGGCATTTTTTCAGCGTCTTACATGTAACGGAGGGGCGTAGAAACCCTCAGCCATTCGGCCCTTGATAAAAGAGCCAGAGCTTCGCTGAAAAAGCAAAAAAAAGGAAAGAAAAAAGAGCGTGCTACTCGTGACGAGAGAAATCCGATGATGTTAGGGTCCTGGTCATCGCTGACGAGAAAAAGCCAATTATCTTATGTCCTGATCAATGTTGAGATCCTAGGTCATTGGTTGACCTCACAGATCAGGTAAATAACCCAAAAGCACGGAGAATTGGATCCTGCTAGAATTTCTAAAAGTGAAGTTTGCTGGGACTTGGCTTGCTTCTGACTCCGAATTTACACTTGCTTTGATCAAAGATGATGTATCAAAGCATTTGGGGTAGGACGGGTCACGCCAGATCACCCATTAGGCGTTCCGCCGGCTATCCATAGAATGTTAACCAGCTCTGACAGCCTTACATGTTGCATAGGCACTATCTATAACTGATACCTAAGCATGCCTAGTTTTCAAATGTTAAAATGGGTGCTAAATTTCAAACCAACACTTCCGAAAAAAACACAGTAAAAAGGTGTAAATTTAAGGAAGTTAACCGAGATCATTTCAAGTAAATGACCTTAACCTGAGTTTCACGTGAACTTGGCACCCACAACAATCAATGAGACAAATATTAGATAGTATATTTCACATGTTGTCACGTCCCTAATCACGAAACGACTATGGAAACACACAGAAGATGTGCGCTGACTTTCAATTGCTATTCTGGCCTGACATGATCTTGAGAAAAATAATCACAGGTCAAGGGTAATTTGGTTCAGGGATTTAAAATTCTCGGAGAAGATGCAAAAATTAAAAGGGCTATTTAATTTTCCGAGAAGTTGTAAAATTGATTAACTCCAGGGCACCAAAGAATCATCGCAATCCTTCACTTTGCCGCGATTTATTGGTGAAAAACAGGGGGCGCGGTCTACTTACCTCTACTTATATGTGTGGTGAGGGTTAATATTTATTTTATCTGTGTTGATGAATATGCGACAATTTCTACATGAACTGAGACCAGTCCATATGAGTATGTTTTTCTCACGGACAATGACAATATAAAAACAATGCGAATAAAACCAAACGTTTCGACCAACAACGTGCCTTGCCTTCGTCAGTGAAGAAAAATAAGTGTAGGTTCATCGATGAGAACTATATGCGGCACCGTCTCGGTCTGGCCAGCCGGGTTGTCGATAAAATACACAAATGTTTATAAGCTTCCATGATGTGCTTTAAAAAAACTGCTGAAAATATATATTTAAAAAATTAAGATAGCTACATCATCGATTTTATCGAAAGAAAACATCTATGCCATAGTTACTTATTTCTCGCCACTGACGGAGGCACTTTTTTGTGCGAAACGTCTGGTTTTATTCGTATTGTTATTGTATTGTCATTCCCTGTGAGAAAAAAGGATAACTCTTCAGTTCTCAAATCACAAGAGTGAACCGGCTTAATGTAACACTTCAGTGTGTATACGAAACCTATAAGTCCCTAAAAATAATCATATTTACAACTTTTAAAAAGATACAGCTTATACAGCTTAGGCATATTTTTTTCTGCATTAAGATAATATTCATTCATCTCCACAGAATATGTTCAATTAGTGCTGCTGAAGTTCGCTTTCGAAGCGTCTCCTCCAGTCCAGGCATTCCACAGCCCTCTAGTGCCATTTTGGATCACCGAACATGGCTGGGCGCGGGACAGGTCGTCTGCGAGCTTGGACGGACCACGTGACCACCTCCTCCCCTCCCCCTCACTCCCGTCCCCTTCCCCAGCAGGGCGTCCGATCTAACCGCGCCCCAGGCAGTCGGCTCGGTCCGACCCTCACTGGTCGAGCCACGGCCCGGTGCCGCCTGAGTTTGTGCCGGGTGCAAAACTGGAGCAGTAACTAGCGCCGGAACTAGTAATCAGCACGACCATCGTCAGATGGCAGGAGTGAATGGAATAAGCAGTTCCAGGTTTCAGAAGGAATGGGGCAGGAAAAAGCGCTGAAAACAATGTTTTGCTGATACAGCCATAAAAAGTTTACTGAATTAGGAGAGCAGCACATCAGTTTAAAGCCCGTCAGATGGTGGTTTTAATAAGCACACAATCATTTCCCAATTCGCCTCCAACGGTGTCACAGGCCAAGAATACGCTGAAATACTAGTGTGTACAGAAGCAACTGCGGGTCCCTGTACGTCCAGTACTTGCTACCTAATAAATAGGTACATCTTCAGACCTAAAAGCTGTGGAAACAAGCTACACAGCCCTGATCACTAGTTTGATCGGTGACTTGTTAGGAACCAGCTTGGCCAGGACAGATAAATGAAAACAAATTTTTAAGGCTTCACTTATATTACACCTCTGCATACTGTGTGATACAAAGTATGTAAGCCATGCCTTGGAATTAACGTCTCAGAGAACAAGTAAAAAAGTGAATCGTATGGTCATGCTCGGCCATTTTATGGTACATATGGTTACACTTTTAAAATACTGAGACAAATTTTTGGTGATCAGTCACAATCCTGCGTACCAACAATTTGCTAATTTAATGGAATATGCCGTTTTTGCATAGGTATCAATAATCTACGCATCACTAATCTAACTGTAGCCTCATCAAGTTTAGATACATAAACCCAGCACCAATGGCGGCTCGTAAGCAGCAAAAAACCAAGAACCAAGTACCATGAATTGTAATTCGGCCCCTTAGAACCAATTGTCCTTCAGCTCAGCAATTGTACATAGCTTTCATAAGAATCGCATATTGTTACGAGCCATGCAAGCAGGCATTTATAGCCCGACATATGCTGATGTCTATCGCTCGAAAACCTTCAAGTGACGACAGAAAAATGTTTGAAATTTGGTATTACGGTATCCAATGTCCAACGGAATGTTGATGAGCTAAAAGCGGTTGAAATGTTGGATTCCTCTGAAACCTTGAATATTAATGGTAAATGCATAATAATGTGATCGTTAAACAATCAGACTGCGTTTTCGTTAAGCAGCAATACGCATTCTTTTCTACTCTACGTTCTTATTGGAGAGTGGAAACGGATCCGTGCTGTCAGAGCTCTGCCACAGCTTTCAAGCCACTTCCCCTACGTGTTATCATTTTGGCACCGCAATTTGAGGCGGGTCGATGATTGTTCTCATTGCCTCATTGCCCATTGCCAACTCTGCATGCTAACCGAAGCGTTGTCGCACATGTAAACATATTGACTGGGAAAAGGGCTAATGGGTGCTAATGATCCACCTGTCTATCGTGATGAAAATCGCACCTCACCATACGAACACCTATATTTTTATAACATTCCGCCTTTTATCGACAGGTGTACTACCACTGTACCGCGGACGGCAGCAAGTTCCAGTACCGCTGCGGAGGCGGCACTGCCTTCAATATCGCAGACGAAGGTGTGCGACCACATCTACAACGTCGTCTGCGACAAATTCGGCACAGCAGAGGCAGCGTCGAGCTCACCGCCCTGATCAGGGCAAGTGGCAGCTCATCGGTGTAGATCTCTCGTGTAGGCCTCCCGCCTGGCTCACCCATGTAGCTCATAGCTCACCCGTGTAGCTCTCAGGTATAGCTGAAGATCGCCGCCCTCATTAGTGTTAGGTGCAACCATAGGCAGATCCAGAAAGGCGGCCTCGGACGTTGCGAGGGGCATGTCCCCCAACAAAATTCCTCCAAATTTAAAAAAAAACTTCTCGGATTTCGATTTCTTATGCACTGCTGTGCAGGTTAAACAAAACTGTTCCCAATAAAAGCTGTTAAGTTTCTTTTTTTAACGTCAAACTGTGATTCCTAGATCCGCTAATGGGTGCAACTCGCCAATGTAGCTCACCCGCCTAGCTCACGCGAGTGGCTCTCCCGCCTAGCTCATGCGTGTGGATCCCCGCCTAGCTTATCTGCGTAGCCCGCCCGTGCACCTCGCCGTGTAGTTTGCCGCCCTCATTAGAGTGAGTCCATTTGCTGTTTCATGCCGTGACTTTAATGCTGCATTGTACTACATTGTTCGTGTTGATAGTTAATCCATGATATTAAATGACGCAGCTGATATGGGTGTTACGCATCAAATAAACGTTTATATCCGTAATGATTTGTAGCCGACTTTTGCAGCTGGCGAAGTGGACCTCGATAACAGATTGTTGACAAACATTACAATCAGGAGCAAATCTGCACCGTTTGGGGTCTCAGAGCAAGCATATTCTGGCTGTAAGCTGTTGACCAAGCTCCATGTTTTCGTACGTGCCCACTGTCAATGACCATTGGCAAGCCTTCATGAATTTTGCCAATGACGAGATACCGGATATACTGTCTGCAAAATTCAGGGTCATCCGATGATCTTCGATACGTCAGCGCATCTGACACCATAGGTGTTAGATTGGCAGAATATCGCGGAGTAATCTATCTGCGGGCTGAGACTGCATCCGTTCCTGATCCAATCACTCGTAATCCGCCGCAAACTCAGCGCAGACTGGCTGATTCAGCTCCTGACTATTCACCGAACTACTGAAGTAAGCTGTAAGGCGTGAGCTGTCTTCAGTTATTATCGACGTAATTAGCATACGGGGTGTTTCAAAAAGTGTCACGGTTTCGAACATCCAGAGTCAAATACGCGCTACTGCGCGTTAGCTGTCTTCAGCAAAAGTTGACGTGATTATCAAAGATGCGAGACAGCTGCAGCAGGCTGATAAGTATGACAAAATCTTATTTTTATAGCATTTTCTAACATCATCCTGCGACATTTCTTTTTTTTGCAAAGATGAATAGAAAACACAGTCAAGTCGCCATTGATTATATACTTGACCGACTGTATTATTATATTTGTTACAGGGAGTATGCGATTTCAGTTAGTTTGCAACGACCCTAGGGTGGTTGTAACCTCCCTGAACGATCAGTTTGTTTGCAACGACCCTAGGGACGTTACAAAATAACTGCTCGTTCCGGGACGTTGTAACGAAACTAGGGTCGTTGCAACCTCCCTAGTTAGTATGCAACGAACCTAGGGTTGTTACAAAATAACTAGGGAGTTTAAGAATTCATCGAGTCTCGTTTCCCAGGAGGGCCGTCAACAATCTTGTCCAATGAAAATCTTGTTCAATCTAGTTCAGTTTAACAGAAAAGGAGAACAAAATTTGAACATTCAGCCAATGAGTATATGTGGTGCCCGGGACAAGGTACGTAACTGTGATAATTTTGGCTGCATTATATCGCCAGCATATGCTTACATGTAGAAAGTAGAGTTACTGGGGTAGGTGTGATGGATATCCGTCGCTATCCGTGTGCGGGTTATTCCTTACACTTTTAGGGCCGGGGTGCGGGTCGGATAAAACCCCTCGTTTTTTTCGCGATTATCTCGCGCTAAAAGCGGCCGATCGTGACGAAACTTTGAGTGTCCTCGAATTTATCTACGTTACTGGTTACACATTCCCTATCAGTACATGATCCTGAAACCAATGACCTTTGACCTTTGATCTGATTTCTGAGACCATGGCAGACCGAAATGATTTGCCGTTTATGTTAGCGCACATAAAATTGCGTTTCCAGACTTCTATTGTGATTACATATAAACGTGCCAGCATGTGAACTGATGGTTAAGTCTCATGCATCATGATGGGTTTCAAGTTGACTTGTCAGTTGTCGCCTGTCGGTCAGGTCAAGGTCATTGACGTTTGATGACTTCGGGTGACTGTTTCAAATTTTACGATTTTAACCCGCGCATGACTGGGGGGGAGGGGGGCTCTACAGAGCCCCCTTCCCGTTTTTCGGCAATATCTTCTAAACCGTTTCACGGATCAACACGAAACTTGCAGTAACGTCAGCTGCATCAATTGGACACCTGTGTTAAAATTTCAACTTTCTAGCTACCATAGTTTGGCCGAAAATGACGTCAGAGTGACGTCATGTCGGCCGATTTTGATACAAATTATTGAATTACGGGAAACGCTCTCAAGAGCTTAGTTTTAAAGCTAGATCCAATTTCTTTGTATCAGTGGACTACAAATACACGTAGCTATCAAACTGCCTCTAGAATTTTCAAAATTTTGAGAATTTCGAAAAATATATTTTCACAATTTCAAAAATATGTTTTTTGATTTTTTCAAAAAGCTTTTGATTCTTCGCAAAAACCGGAATATATGTAATAGAACTCACACTGATGACCTACTCTAGCAAGTTTTAGCCCAATATCTTCAAAAATAGCCAAGTATTTGCATTTTTGTCAAAATTTTACAATAACATATTTTTAAAAAACATTTTCAGTACGCTTTTGACATCCTACAGCAATATAAATGGCACCATCGTGTTCCAGAGCTCAAACTGCATCTGATAGGCAACTTTTGTGTTGAAAAATTTCATTTTCAAAATTTAACCTTTTCTGACCTGAAAATGACCTGGCCTCCGGTATATTCAGCTGAAAATGACCTCAAATGACACAGACGACATAACTTTCGAAATCTACGTGTAAAATGGACCATAAAACATGCGTCACGTGACCGATACATGATATACAATTTTCGTGACCTAGGATGACCTGGCCTTGACATGGAAAATTGGAAGTAAGAGTTTGGTAACCTCAGGGTATCTAAGGCATATATCAAGGAGTGCGTAAACCAGAAATGAGCCTGATCGGACTTGTCAGCCGGCGGCCAGAGCCTACATTGTAAACAAGCAAAAATGCCGATAATTTTTTCTTTGACCTGACCTGTAACGTCATCGGTGACCTCGAGGTCAATGAAAGTAGGTTTCGTTCGACAGTTTTTCCAGGGCTATCAGACACCGTTTGAATTTTGACGATCGGCCCAGTAGTTTCGGAAATAGGAGGGGGCTCTGGAGAGCCCCCTCAGTCACTCGCGTATATTTTTTTTAGCTTATTTCGAATCCAGCATTCGTTGAAACATTTGAGAAGTACGTATAGTTGTGGTGCCAATGCAACTTGCTACGAAGCTGTCGCTGGTGGTCTTGATGTCTTGATGTTTTTAGGGCAGGTCGGGTCAGGTCAGGTCAACCAGTACGCATCTTGCTAGCTATCCATAGCAGGTGTCAACCACCACTGACAGCTTCGTGATCGTGACATGTTACGAAGGCGCCAAAATTACTTCGTAATGTTCAAATGGGTGCTAAATTCGAAATCAGCTCCAAAAACTAGCCTAAAAATATATGAGCCCAGAAGAAGTGAACTAAGGTCATCAAAGGTCAATGACCTTGACCTGACCTTCACGTGACCTTGATACCCACCATAATGCATGGGACCACCATTATTTCACATGTTTGAACGTTTACAATCACAAAAAAAAAGACTGGAAACGAGCGGATAATAGCTGTTTTTACGAAGGGCTTCCTGGCGAATGCCCATCTAATTTGAACAAATCTGCACAAATGTGCACCTAATTTGCACAAAATGTGTACTAGATGGCCGTCGTGAAATGCTCCTGAGTTGAATGTTCAAATTTTGTTCTCCTTTTCTTTTTAAATGAACTAGATTGAACAAGATTTTCATTGGACAAGATTGTTGACGGCCCTCCTGTGAAACGAGACTCGATGAATTCTTAAACTCCCTAGTTATTTTGTAACAACCCTAGGTTCGTTGCATACTAACTAGGGAGGTTGCAACGACCCTAGTTTCGTTACAACGTCCCGGAACGAGCAGTTATTTTGTAACGTCCCTAGGGTCGTTGCAAACAAACTGATCGTTCAGGGAGGTTACAACCACCCTAGGGTCGTTGCAAACTAACTGAAATCGCATACTCCCTGTAACATATTCATTATACCAGTGGTGCTCCGACAAACCAATTTCTTTAGATCTAAAAATTGTGAGGCTAGTTAAAAATTGTGAGGCCTGTCCCGTAGCTCAGTTGGTAGAGCATTGGACTCCCGGTAGTGAGAGCCCGGGTTCGAGGAGACGCTCCGGCGCTCGATATTTGAGACTCCTGACGGGGATGGTCTGCGGTTGGTGGGAGCAGCCGCAGCCAGTTGAAGTCAGTTGAGTTGGACAGGCCGTGTCTTTGAAGGGCACGTTAAACTTTGGCATCTAAATTCTCCCGTTACCCGGAATTGCGCGATCGGACTGTAGGGGTCGGGGTCTACGCAACAAGCTCTGCTTAGCGTGGGTTCCAGCTCTGGCAATCCGTCCATTCAAACATTCGAGCTAAATTTATTAAAAAAAAGCTCAAAAGAGTTAACTCGTCATAACTTTCCTCCTCACTCATCCCTTCCAGCAATGCATCTAGATCACAGAGATTCAGCGCAATGTGCAGAGCGAATCCAGCCCGGATGTGCCGGTTCCAAGAAACCAAGTTCGTTGCACTTATTCTCTCAGCCGGGAGAGCAGGACGAAGACGACAAACATGATATCACGATATGACAATAAATCGTCCCAGCTCTGTCGATCTCGACTGTCGTGGTCCGGGAGGAATGGGAAGATGCTCCAAGAACTAACCGCAACAAGTGATCTAAGAAAGAGGCTTCAGGAGGCGGCATTTGTGGATC